TTATTAAAAGTAAAACAAAAAAGAACAGAATCTTGCTTAGATAGGGAGAAATTCTGAATGCCTGTACAGGATCCTCTTCCAACACACTGAATACAAATATTTGCGATTGTTTGAAAAGAAGGATAATGATTTCATTTGATCTGTGTGGTATGGCTTAGTAGAACTGTAAAAGAATCATAACCTTGTAGTAGTTCCAGGAGGATAAAGTAAAAATTTATAAGGAATGCTGAAGTTCTCGTATATGAACAGGGCTCCCCATTAGCATTTGGGCAATTCTCTTCTCAAGGGATCAGTATCTTGGGAATATGAGGTGAGACACAAAGTTGGACTAGGTGCGGGATGGGGCTAGGCAAGACTGGTGAGGGTGAGGGAATAGAGGGTAATGATCAGAGGGTCAACAGGAAGTCAGTGGATTAAGAGATCTGGCAGGACCCAGAGTTTTGATTTGGAGGAGTTAGTCCCCATTACTAATCAGAATCTATGAGGGTCTTGCTACCTGTCCAAATTTGGACTGCCTGTGATGGCCTTAAAGCTACCAGTCCTGCTGGGCCCAGGATCACATCAGGTCACTGCCTTATAATTGGGATGATACAGACTCAGGGCTGCTTGCATTTTCTAGAATAGCTTCCTGCACTAATACTACTGATTAATCACTGACTTTTTTTTCCTCAGTACATATTCAAGCCATTTGTAATATTTACTTTTCTTATACATTTTAATTATTTTTGTCACAACCCTCTTTTTATTGATTTCTTAATCTTGTTCTCTATTAAATGCAGTTCAGATATTTCAATAATATTGGACCAAATTTATGAACAGAGGGAAGGCCACTGTATGACTTAAAGGGTTCTGGCAATGCTACTTGTGAAGCAGAGGCAGGGATTTTTTTGGGGGGTGGGTAAAATATAAACTCCTTGAAATTCATTTTTGAAAATGCAAGTAAGCCTACGGTACATAGCCCAGTGCTGCTTTCTCTTTCAATGTGGGTGCTTTTGTGCCAATACATATAAGAATCTTAGATATAAGAATCTTAGAAGACAAGAGTTTACCTGGGGATACTGAGGGCCAAGTTGGGAAACACTAACAGATCTTGATATGATCTGGCCAATTTCTCTCCTAGAGCATACTCTACCATGTCAGCAGTAAGTTCCAGCTAACTGGAAGATAAGAGCCCAGATGGGAGTGGAATCTTTTAGGGAAACAAAAATGCAATGGGTAGCACCATTCACTCTCGTTCATTAGGTTTCTTCTTCCAAATGGGACCAACAGGAAGCAAGATGATGCTGAGGCAGAGGGGAGGCCTGGCAGTAACCACTATGCCTAGTCTGGTCATATTGATTGTTATATTTTAAAATGCTTTTTAAGGTTAGTAAATAGCAAGTCAGATTCCTGTCCTTCCAAGAGACAAATCTCAGGTGCTACATATTTTGCAGGTACTTTTTACTTTCTGGCTTTTTCCATCATTGGGAAGCAGTTGTGGAACCAGGTTATGGGGCATTTACCACCCTTGGGCAGGGCAGAGAGAGTGACAGTAGGTTTCAGGACCTTGATTTATAAGGATGCCACCTGCTAATTCGAGAACTATGGTGAGGGGTATTGTCACTTTGGAGAGAAACTTACTGTATTTACTCAACCAGGATTCCAGTGTGTGAATGTGGAGTGTGTGTGTGTGTGTGTGCGTGGGGATGGTTTATACATGTCTTTCTCTTATCTCCCTCACAACCTCATCCCTCATCAAGAAGCAATTGATCAACAAGTAGTTTGGGGGGAAATACTAAGTATTAGAGTTCTGGCTACATTTTAGAAACAAGGGCGGGAGCAATTTCATAGGCATCAGAAACAGGAAAATTAATCTCCAAGATTTCCCCTTATCAAGAAATCTTTCAGGACTTACAATATCAGACCACATTTGAATGTCTTTCAAAGTTACATGCACATAACAAGATTAAATTCATTGAAAAATATTTTGAATATTGCAAAACAATCTGGCCTTGGGTGACACTGTTCCTAATAATGCAAGACATTAATTAAGAGACATTTCCCTGTAAATCAAAACCACAATGAGCACTCACTTCACACCTGCTGGAATGGCTATCATCAAAAAGTCAAGGACTAACAAATGCTGGTGAGGATATGGAGAAAAGAAACCCATGTGCACTGTTGGTGGGAATATAAATTAGTACAACTGCCACAAAAACCATATGGAAATTAAAATAAAATGAAACTACCATATGATCTAGTTATCTCACCTCTCTGTATTTGTTCAAAGGAAATAAAATAACAATCTCAAAGAAGTATCTGCACCCCCATGTTCATTGCAACATAATAGCCAAGACATGGAACCCATCTAGTGCCCATTAATGGATAAATGGATAAAGCTACAGTGACACACACAAACATGTGCACACACACACAGAGGGATATTATTCAGCCATAAAAAGAAGGAAATCTTCTATTTGCAAGGATGGACCTTGAGTGCAGTGTAATAAATCAGGCAGATCATACAAATACTGTATGGTCTTACTTATATGTGGAATCTAAAAAAACTCTAAACAGAAATTAGGTTTTTGATTGCTAAAATGGGAGGAATAGCATGAAGGTGATCAAAAGGTGCAAACTTCCAGTTATAAAATAATTATATTCTGGGCCTCCCCAGTGGCGCAGTGGTTGCGCACTGGGTTGCGAAGCTGCCCGCAGCCTCTGCAGCGCCGGTTTGATCCCCGGCCACTGGGTGAGGGTCCCACATGCCTCGCAGACCTCTCCTGCTGCCCGCTGCTTCCCTCAGCAGTGTACTTCATCAGTCTGCCTGCTCTGCTCTCCACTCTGGCTCTGGTGAATTCTCTCACCCTCCCGCACTTCTGACTGTACCCAGTGCTTGTATAAATAAATAAATAAATAAATAAATAAATAAATAAATCTTAAAAAAAAATAATTATATTCTGGGGATGTAATGTATAGCATGGCAGCTACAGTTAATGATACTGTATTGTATATTTGAAAGTTGCTAATAGAGTAGATCTTGACAGTTTCCATCATAAGGAAAAAAATTGTAACAATGTGAGGTGATGGATGTTAACTGAACTCACTGTGATGACTTCACACTGTATATCTATATCAAATCATTATATTGTAGGCCTTAAACTAATACAATGTTATATGTCAATTATATCTCCATGAAGCAGGGAAAAAGACATTTCTCACCAATACAAATTGTATGCTATACAGTATCACAATATACTATAGTCTATTATACTTACTATTTTATGTTACTAATTAGACATACTATTTAGACTAATAGACATATTTTTACTCTCCTACTACCACTACTATGACTGCTACTGGTGTTCAGTACTTACTTTGTGCTAGGTGCTCTTCTAAGTACTATATATCCTTTAATCCTCACCATCTACCTGTTCTTTTGTTACTAGCTGTCCCCATCCATGGGAACTTTTTAATAATCAAAGGAACTGAGTGACAAGGGTGAGGCCTATTACAATAGAAGCCCTGGTGTTAGGTGCCTGCTGTCACCACCGCCCCCACCCCCGACTATGTATCCCCATTTTTTTAAAGAGCAACTGCAGGGTTTTTGTTTTCCCCCAGAGTTCTAGATTTGAAAATGTCCTTGTTTTTGAATCACCATAGAAAGCACTCTGACTCATGGGTTTCTTTTTTTTCCTGCTCTCAAAATAAAATGGTTGAACAGCCAGGAGTATTTAGAATAACATTTAACACTTGGGGCTGCTGTGGTAAGAACATGTTTAAAATCTTGGTAAAACCCGTTGGGTCTGAATTGCATGAATTGACCTGAGCTTGCGTCTTAGTCCCTCCCTGCACACACTCGCTCTTGTCTGCTGTAAGTCATCTCTTTCTGTCGACACCCAGAGGCTTATGTTGATGCAAGTCTGTTTCTTTCTTGAAGTCCTTGCCACATGGATCCCTATCCTAGCCCAGTTTCTCATCTCATTCATTTGCCACCTTTTAAAAATGTCATTGTGAGCCAATTCCCTCCTGTTTCAGTTTAGTGATCTCTGAGTTTTCACTCAGCTCAGTTCTACACAGATATGTGTGCCCTTGTACTGTGTGCTGAATGCTGGGGTTTCCAGGATGAAATGAAGACCAGCTTTTGCCTGGAGAGGTTGGCCATCTGTTCTCCCTGACCACTGTGGGGAAATACTACAGTACAGGGCATGGGAGGTGTGGAGGCAGACTAGCACTCCCTTCAAACTCCCCTTGACTTTACAGTGCATGCTGATTTTGCCTAACACTATTTGTTTTTCTTTATTTGGCTATTACTTTGGGCTTTTCCTAATCTAGGAGTCAGGGATAGCAATTGATAAACAGGTAATGCAGGTGAGTCCATGCCCTAAGCTATTTGGGGAGACATTGACAGGAGTTCTATGGTGACAAGGATAGAGAGGAGGCAGGTTCCAATTGTCCTTGTAGCCCAGTGCTAAGACCAGTGCAGGGCACATAGTAGGTGTGGCCTATAAATATAATCAAGGTAGGTGCCACCCTTTGTTGTCATAAATAAAGAGGCCAGAGGCACTCTTTCACATGGGCAGACTTATTGCTAAGACCTTAGTGGCCTTGGAAGAGCATTAGCTAAGCAACTCAACAGGCATGTGTGTGTGTCTATGTACACGTGCACACACACACACACACCATATAATCACATACATTTATATTTATTACATGTCACATAACACTCATCAGGTATAGCATTCTGTGGGTCCTTGCTAAGCACCAGAACCAGAGGGATCACCCCTGTTGCCCTACCCCAAATGCCTTTTGGAAATCTCACTCAACCCATATTTACTCTGAATGACATGTGGTGACATAGATCAATATTAATTTATGTGAATTTTGTATAAATTGTACAAACAATGCAAGATTTGTCTTAAAAGTTTTTACAAAGATTTTTGTCTTGTGATTACATTAACTTTGTAATACCCTTGTTTTGAGTGATTGGAGGCCTGAGTGGAGGAGCAGAGTATACTTACCACAGTACAGCAAAGGGGCCAGAACCACCACAGGAGAGCCAGGGCCAGCAGCAGGAACAGGATCAGCAGGGCGATGGCCAGGATGGAGCCATCAGACTGTGGGGCCAAGAGAAAGGGCAGTCAGCAGTGGGGCAGGCCATGGGTGCAACCAGCACAGGAGCCTGGGTGGGGCAACACCTGTGGTCTCCCCCTTCCACACTCTTATCACCAATCTGCAGAGTTAAGACCCAGAAAAGAGCACAGTGTGCCAAGCAAATGGCTGGAAGTCTGCCCAGCATTCTGGCCAACACACTTTATATTCAATAGAAATGGATTTATCTTTTCAGTGAGGCTCTTCACTTTGAGCAACAGTCTGAAGAAATCAAACCTGCATGGGACAGGTGGCTGCCTATGCAACTGGGCACTGAGGTGGTCTACCACTTCCATATGCCTCTAACCTGTCACCTGTCTGGTGACTCCCTCAATCTGCTGTCCCTCCATTACCTGGCCTGCACTCAGGACCACTCTACTCAGGCTTCAGCCTGTTCCCCTGAACCTTTTCACATAAGAGCAGGTAACCAGTTCACCTGGCTATGGGTGGAAAGTCTAGAGTCCGACCACAGGACGTGATAAAGGGCAGCTGGATTCCAGGGAGTGGAGGGCAGAGCAGCTGCTCTGAGCCAGGGAGGGAGGAGTATAATGACTGAGTCAGCACTGCAGTAAGATCAAGTGAGGCAGGTACCCAAGATGAATTATACCTACTTGAAAACATGCCTAGGCCAGTCCTAAAAATAGGCTCTGTTGGTATGGCCTGAGATACCATTCGCTTTTAGCAAACAGAGATCCCAATAGGTGTCAGCATTCGGAAGCTACTGGTTCCAGGAAGCAGATTTAATTTCCAACCATCCCTTTCCTGCCTATCAGTTACTGGGATGCAAATGGGTACAACCTACTGGAGACTGTAGGGGGAAAGGGTGTATGTCACTGGCATTGATTGTCGTTGGTATTCCTTCTGAGTAAAGCTAACAAGTACACTTTTAGGCCAAGGAAACAATCAGGTATGTTTGCTCCTCCTCTACCTCCTCCTCCTCATTATCATCATTATCATTGTCATAAAAAACAACTTAAATATTTAACAATTAGGGAATAACTAAAAATACATAATAGAACTATGATATAATTATGTAGACATTATGTTTTCAAATATTAAATGACATGAGAAAACATTCCTGATATAATAAGTGGAGATATATATCTCTATCTATATATATTTCCAGAGTGAGTGACAGACTGAAGGATATTTACTAAAATATTAATAGTGCTTTTACTGGTGGTGAGCTTATGGTAATTTTCTTCTTTCTTTAAAACCTGCATTTTTCCCTTTAAAAAAATTTCATAATGAGAAAATAAACTGCTGAAGTTTTTTATTTTAAATCTGCACTTGGGGTGCCCCAAGTGTCAGAGCTCACCTGGCCTGGGATTCTTACCCAGGGTCAATGGGCCAATGGGGTACATATATGGGCTCAAGTAGATGGAACTTGTGACTCTCCTGAAATGACACCCCTGTCCTCTTCAGTATCTTCATGGGAGACTGTTCACAGCAAGATCAGATTCTCAAATCTCCCCTTTGTTACAGAAGAGCAGGGTTGGGAGGGGACAGTTGGTGGGTTGTCCAGAGTAACACAGCAGTTAATGGCAGATCTGGGCCATGACTCACGCCCACTCTGAGTGCTATGGAGGGGCTGCTGGAAGCTGTTTAAAGGCAGTTCCTACTCCCTGGAATGTCTTTGACCAAAAAGCCAGGGAGTTAAAGCACAGGGGTCAACAGATGGACATGGCCATGGTAGAGAGGAAGCTTCTGAACCTACACATTTACTCTAGACCCAACATTTATGCATGAGCTATGTCTGAGAGCTATAGTCTCAGTGATGACACAAAAAAACACATATTTTCAAAACTTGTTAGTCAAGGACAGTCCTCTTGATCTTCTAGTCTCTAGATTCCATGCCCTAAACATAGTGATACTGAACTCACCAGCCTCAGCGGGTTGATGTGAGGATCAAGTGGGCTCTAAGATGCAGACAGACTTGGCTAGACAATTATGATCAAAGTCATCTCATCAACTTTGAGCTGTAGCTTACCATCCCTCTATTTCCCCATGACATCAAACATGGTGGGCATTTTAGGTCAAATCTGTTTGCACTTGTAATAAATGGTTTTGGTTACTTAGAGGCCTATTAAGCAGCTTTCTTTTAGTACTGAGTTACAGTTTAGCAAAGACGATAGGCCACATTTATACATATTATTTTCAATTTCCCATCTGATTCTATTTTTCACTTTAGATAGAGGAACTGAAGCAGAAAGTCTGATTAATTATGGGGAAAGTTTTTCACTTCCTTCTGGGAGTTTTCCTGGAAGTGGGGTGGGTGAAGGATCCAGTCCATGAAGGGAGAGAGGAGGCTTCAGCATGGGGAGATTTGCTGGATTCTGACAAAACTACCTCTAACTTTTCTCCAGCCGGGCTGGGACACAATTCTCAGTGGCAGAGGCCAGTGTGGCGCTCAGGTAGGAGGTCTGGGGGGAGTGGTAGTGAAAATGGCTGGAGGCAGTTCCTCCTGGGGGAACTTCTGCTCTGGAGACAACCCCTTATAAAGCCCCTAAATGCACTGCCTGGTTTTCAAGAATTTCCAACAACCATTATAACCTCAGGTCAAAGATTCACCGTTGAAAAATGGCATGAATTTTTGATAAATTTAGACTGGAAACTAAAGTTTATCTAGGAGGCAACATTTAAATGCTATCTCGGGGGTTCATTCATATCTTTATTCAGTAAATATTCACTGAGGGTCTGCTCTGTGCCTACTGACCAGACCTCAGGGATCAGGATCAATTAAATAGAAGCCAGATGCTCAAGAGCTGCAGGGAGATGTAGACACAGCTAACCACGTGCTGGGGGCTGTCCACCCCGCAACTGCTGTTCCAGGCAGTGACCAAAACAGACTCTGTTCTCCCAGAACTTCCCTTCTGGTGTAATAATAATGAGAATGATGATGATAACTACTATTATAGCCAATATCTGAGTACTTACTGTATGGCAGGGACTAATCCACATACTAACATGCTCTCCATATGCTTATTTAATTCTCACTAACTTCAGGAATTCAATATTTTTTCCTATATTACAGATGAAAATATGAAGGCAAGGACAAGTGAAGAAACTTGCCAAAAGTCACAGGGAGAAAACAAGATTTTTTTACTTATTTATTTTTTAATTATTTAATTTTACTTTTAAAAAAATATCTATTTATTCATTTATTTCTTAATTGTTTTTGAAATTTTACATTGCTGCTAGTGTTTTGACCTTATAGGATTTTCCTTCCTCAGGTATAGTCATGTTAGCACTTGCACCACCAAAGCACACGTAGTCCTCCATCATAGTACACTATGGTCTACCCCCACCCCAACCTCTCTCCCTTCTTTTAGCCTCCCTCTCCCTATGAAAGTCACAGATCTATGGTCAAATTTCAAGGGTTGATGGAAAAGAAGATTTAAACTTGGGCAGTTTGGCGCCACAGCTCACAGGTTTAACTAGGAGATTAATATTCAAAGCAGGCACCAGAACAGAGACCCTGGGAACTAGTGCTTTATAAAGGAATTGACACAAGCTCTCACCCTGCAAGGCCAAGGAGAGCTTGGCATTCTTGTGCAGAAAGGGTGAGCACAAAGTCATGGGATCAGGAAGTGCCAGGAGTGCAAAGGCCTCTGTGCAAGAAGCACACAATGTCTTTAGCTGAGGGGGGCCAAGGTGTCTTTAACCCAGGGACACTGGGGTTGGATTTATTTCTTGGGAAGCAAATATTATTGACACAGTAGAGTATAAACCTGACGGGGTAGTGATTGGGTATCAAAGGCCTGGGGGAGGGCTGCCGCGATTCTGCCCCATTCCTTTAGGGTGATATTTTACAGGGTGACTCCTTCTGAAGCTTTACATTTTCTTGGATGTGTTCAATAGCAATTTTATTGACAAGAGCAGACCACATGTGATCAATAGTTGACTTGTTGCTGTTTCCGTTCTTTGTACCATGTTAAGTGCTAGATAGGCATTATCTCATTTAACTAAATGAATCTTGTGAAAGCAGTCTTGTTGCAGGGACTGTTAGCCACTCTTTGCAGAGTCAGCAGAGGTGTGTGACTTACCCAAGATGCTACACATATCAATTGTCAATAAACATAAATTGACTAAATTTATATTTATATGCCCACAATTTTAATGTGGCAAAACTGGGATTTGATCCCTTACAGTCTGATTTTGAACTTTGCCCCCTCCTACTTATCACACTATAATGCCAGATTTATAAAAATTCACTTAAGAAATATCTGTATTTTAAAGACTGAACTTTAATCAATTGCATGATAGACTGAGACTGAGACTGAGACTGTTTGTAAGCTGCCGTGGCTTTAATGGAAGTTCCCTCACATGGCCCAGTGTGATTAGCATGTGGTGTGGGTGAGAGTGTACTTCAGAGTGAAGTTGGAAAAGGATGGGGACCACAGCACAGCCTGCCTTCCCTTCTGTTCTTGGCTTGAGTTTCAATCAATAACCATGTGAAGAGGGATTGATAACTCACGTAAGAGTGGCTCTATGTTACTCATTAAATAAGTATGAAGTATGTAGTACACATGTGCATTGTTTGGTAGATGGTATTTTCCTCATTCATGAAACTGGTTTAGTTATTCTAAAACAGTCCTTTTGTATCTTCATCAAGTCCCTTGATGGAGAGTCCCCTTGGGTGCCAACCAGTAGGCTCTGTCAGAGGGGAGACGTGGTGAGTTCTAGAATCCACACAGGGTAGCCTGGGGGCCACAGAAACTGGCTCTGCTCTGTGCTCCATTCTCCTGCTCAGGTATAATCTGCTTTGACTCCTTGGGTACTGGCCTCTGACTGCCCTCCTGTGTCAAGGCTCACTGGCTATTGGCATACCCCTTGCCAACCACCACCTGCTCCTGAAAGCTGCTTCCTGAATGGGAGCCCAGGAGGGTCATGGGCTCACCACTGCCCTCACTCTGACCCAGGGCATGTGTGTGGGCTCCCTCTCTGCTTTCCCTTTTACCATGGC